ATAATAATAATAATAATAATAATAATAATAATAATAAAAGAGAGAAGCCGATAATTAAAAGAATAAAAGCAAAAGACAAAGGTTAACCTGGTTATCACCTTCTCTAATTCCATTCACATATACATACATACATATATATAAATATATAATTAATTATTTATAATTCCCAGACGCTCTCGTGAAAAAAGGGCATTGTCAAATCGCATATGTGTGCCATCCAGTTGACGCAGTAACGCAAACACATGACCCACACTTGGAAGTTCCACACAAAGTGTCGTATCCACATTAGGATCACGCCATATATGTACTGGCTGCACACCAATAATACGAAGTAATTGAAGGACTTCCGCATCATCAAGGCGACAACGCAGAGAGTGAATAAAGAGTAATCTACGCGGGTTTGATACTACCGCCTTGCTACTAGAGTATGTCGCTACCGTTGGTCCATTCTCAAGTTGTTGCATGTAGTTATCACCATACAAAGCACGCATCTCATCTTCCATCTGTTCAACAGTACGTTTACATGCTAAACGAGTCTGAAGCAGTTCTAATTTTTTACGCAATTGTTCTTCTGTAAGCTCATTGGTTGTTTTTGTTGTTGTTGATGTTCCCGCTGTAGTTGCTGAGTTGGTATCTTTTTCATCTGAATTATTATTATTATTATTATTATTATTATTATTATTATTAACATTGTTACTACTATTTAATAACAACTGTTGTAATTCCTGATCCACTTGAAGTCCCTTTGCCTTTGCAGTCGTCCACTCATGGCGAATCATATAGGCAGGATGTTCACTATGTTTTGCATACCAACTTTGCCATTCCTTCTCTAATGCCTTTGTTCGTTCCGCCAACGGACCCCACAACAATTGTTGATGCTCTTCACTTGCCGCAACCACACGAAACACACCACCACTACTACTACTACTATTATTATTATTATTATTATTATTATTATTATTATTATTACTATTATCATTACTATTATAATTAATACCACCCATGCTAGTGGTTGAACTGTTCATGGAGTTCACGGCGAACATGACAGCTGCAGCAGTGGCATTACTATTCAACGACACAATGGCACATCCCTCACCTGGTAAACAGAGAATGTTAAGAAAGTATGCGTTAGGTATACGTGAACATGTCTCTTCCATAAACCGCTTCATCGCTTCCGGAGTGTAATACATTGCCGGTAAACATTCAAACGTCACACACTGTACAGAACACATTCCACTCTCTGAAAAAACACTGGGAAGTGGTGGTGGAGTGGGTAAAATACCTCCAACATGATTTCCATGCGCAACAGCAGTGTAGTTCCCATCAACAGATGATGATGAATAGGAACTTAGTACTGCATCTCCCGATGCGTCTCTACGTATTTGTTTTGTAGGTTGTACTGTATTTTCTTCCATCGTCTCTGTGGATGCTGGTGTGATTGGTAAATAGCGCACAACTTCCATTAAACGTTTTGTAAAGATATCTGTAAGCAATTGCAGTGATGCCGCGTCAATTTTTTCACTTTCTTTCTCTTGTAGAGACTTTGCAATTTCACTCCGGAGCAACACTTCACGCTCCTGAGGGTCTTGACAAATCACAACATCACAGGCCTCACACAGTATGGTGAGTAATTCCTTCGTCTCTCGCACAAATGTTAACACCGTCTCATTTGTTTCCTCACGGAGTAGGCGGGATATCACTCGGCGTACATCAAGATAGAAAGCCGGTGGTATATCCCTCTTTTGATCTCTTTGTTGTTGTTGTTGTTGTTGTTGTTTTTTTTCTTCCTGCGCTGCGGCTGCGGGATTATCACGTCGCCCACGCTTCCCTCGCGCAAAGCGACCATTACCGAATCCACTCGAGCTGCTCATACTTCTCTAACCTACGCAACTGCACTAGTTTCTCCACCAAGGCTAAAAATAAAAATAAAATAAAATAAAAATAAAAATAAAAAAAAGATAAACCGCAGATAATGGTGACAAAATAACGAAAAAGAGAGAAAAAAAAAAAGAAAAAAAAAAGAATAAGAGAAGTATATTTTTTTACCCCTCACATTGGTAGAATCATCCCTGTTTTTCTTTGTATATGTATGTATGTGTGTATGTAAGAAAGAGATAGATAGATAGAGTGGTGGTGTGTATGATTCATGGTTCAATGACTGTTTTCTCTGGAAAACTTCTTCTATCCATGCTAAATAAAATAATATTCATTTTCTCCTTTTTCTATTTTATCTATTCTCTCATTTTTTGACGAATCCAGAAAAAAAAAAGACTAGATTCGCTTCCGAGGGTAAATACACACACACACCCACATCCACATCCACATCCACTTTCTCTCTTTCTTCTTCACACGCTCATACATGCACATACACACAAAAACAAACAAACGAACACACAGAGAAAGAGAGAGAGGAGCAAAACTAAAACAAAAAAATGACAAGAAAGTGATGGAAAAAAAAAAAATGATAAAGGTGTATAAACAAGAAAACCATGCTTTAGTTACTATTTGCTGCAGCTTGTTTTTTACTTACCACCTCATCTATAATATCCTTCAACTTGCCTTTTTCTGCCAAGGCCCTGAGTAATTCCACTATCATGCCTACGTAATTATGACGGCGACGCTGATTTTCCACCCGTCCCTTTTCACGCTGTGCGCGGAGTTGCTCGAGTTGTTCTTCAAGATACATCGTTGGGGCTTCGCGTTCCTTTGCCTCCTTAATTTCCTTCTCCAGTTGCAGTAATCGATCATCTACAACAGCCATAAGAGAAAAGGAGATACCACGACCGGTTCTTGATTGATCTGCAGCACTCTTGTCAATAATACGTTTTTGTACCACTTCTATAAGTTTCTCCTTGTAGTTTTCATCTGTGGCGTCACCAGCAAGAATAGGACCCTCTTGTAATCCATCAAGTTCCCAAATAGCTCCATTCTTATATATAAAAGAAACAAAGTGGTACACATCAGAGGCATCTGGTTTTTCGGCATCTAACTCGAAAATACAGGCGGGAGCAAAAGAATTATGGGCATCACGTAATACTTCACAATGTCCAACTTGCGTCCCACGAAGATAAGGATTCATTTCCCTTGTGAAACTGAGAAAATTGCTTAGTGTGTCTCCAAGATCAATGCGATCACTGTAGTTCAATAACGTGTTTATGAGGGCGAGTGTGGCGCAGGCGTTATTCACTGTCTGTTGTGCAAAATACACGGGTGCGTCTGGAACCACGGCGCCATCTGATGTCTGTTGCTGTGATTGGGATTCTTGTTCTTGTTGAGATTTCATCTGTGGAGCCCAACGGAAGAGAAGAATGAGTCCGTAGACGGCGGTGTGGCCCCGCAGTGCGTCCGGCTCGAGTGCGATGAGTTCCTCCACCGCCACTCCGCGCGTGCCGAAGCGCTCAACGAGTTCCGTGAATACCGCCGGGTCACTCTCAATAAGACACCAGCGTGGCATTTTGTTCTTTTTTGTTTTTGTTTGTTTGTCCTTCTTTATTTATTTTATTTATTTCTCTCTCTTTTTTTTTTCTTTTTGTACCTATCGGTGTGTATACGTACCTCTTGTGTTGGTAAAACGAAAGAAAAAAAGGTGGGTTAGTGAGTGGTTGTGTTTATCAGAGAGAAGAGAGAGAGATAGAAAAAAAGAAATAAAAGAAAATGTATTGTATTATACTGTACTGTAAAGTATCTTACCTATTTTCCTTGCCGTTGAAGGAGTATGCATGGGTAAAATTAAAGCGCACAGAACAACAATAACAAGTAGACCAGTAAAGAGTTTCACTCTACACACCATTAAACTGCAGCAGGAATCTCACCAAGAAAGTGAGGAGGATAAAAAAAAAAAAAGAGAGAGAACAATACAATACAATACAATACAAATAAATAAAATAATAAAAACGCCTCTATTTACAAAGTACAGATGTGAGATCCTGCAAAGCATCAAAAACGTCACTGTCGTCCACTCGAAGTGCATAACGTGTCTCTGAGAAGCCTTCCCGTACAGGTGGAGCATAGACTCTCAACAAGGCATCTAACACACGAAGATATCCTGGTGCTCCTAACAACAACTGCAGTGGAAAACTTTTATTTTTACAGTAAATAAATGAAGGATAATTGTATTGTGTTATAAGCACATCTGGAGAAATCATATGCAAAAGCCGTACACGCCGCAGCTTGGCAGGAAAGAGCATATGATAAGATGGAAGTGCGAGTGTATCAATTCCAATCATAACATGTGCCCATTGAGAGTGTGTAAGAGAGCGAAGAAAGACACCGGCATCTCCTAATGGACGATGTACACGGTGTTGCAACACTCTGGCCGCATATCGCAATCCATCAATTACAAATACGACATTAGAAAAATGAAGTCCTGATGCCATTTGGGCTACAAATCTAACTAATACAGTTTCAATAAGAATATCCCGTAATTCCATATTATGGGGTGCATTTCGTGCCGCATATAATATTTCTGAAGCACCAGCTGCAAAAGCTTCCCATTGATAGACCGCCTGGTGTCCTACTAATTCTGCCAACGCTGCGTTACTAAATCGTAAAATACCATTTATATTTTTATTTCTCTTTGTACTTTCTCTTAACACGAGTTCTTCCCATGCTTCAATAAGCACTCCACTGCCTTTACGCAACGAAGGACGTTGACTAACAGCACAGTCTATTACATGTCGCACTATTGTCAGAAAGAAAAAAGGAATATCTAGCATAAGTTTCTGCTCCTCTGTACTGTTAGTTTCCAATTTATTTCCATTTAACTTTTTCATCGTCTTATCCGTTGAAACCCACGCAGCGTCAAAAAGTAGTTCAAAGTTCAGCGGCAAAAATAGAGAACCACAATAGGGTCCTTCTACCATAGATGCTGCCAAATAACTACAATAAGCCAATGTTGTTGTTACCCCACTCCGTGGTGGACCTTCCACAACCACCCGAAGTTTCTCTTCTTGTTTTATTCGTCTAGTCATTCTCTTTCCAATAACAGACTCCAGAGATGAGTTTAATTCTTTTCTAAAGAGCAATTTTTCTTCTACAAATGAACCTCCAATCAATTTCAATGAAAGGAGTGTTTGTACTGTACTGACTCTATCAGAATGTGACATTTCTCCTGCAGCTCCAAGGAATGGTGGAGAAACAAAACGAGGAGTGTTCGGTAGCTTAACACGTTTACCCGCAACAGTGAAGGTAGTATGATTCACATCCACATCTACATCCTTGTTAACAGTAGGTGATTCTTCGTTATGTAGACTATGATGATTCACAAATTTTACCCTTTTAGGTGAATTCCTTTCATATGAAGGTATCCCTCGCTGAGAAGGTGCTCTGTTATGTTTATCTAAATCATGAGACTGAGAAACAGTCGCAGCAGCAGCAGCAGAACCAGTAAGGTTTCTTGAAGGCCTATCAACGACTACTTCCTTTGAGGTAAAAGGAGAACTGTTACTTGGAGATTGTTTACACTGTGAATATGGCTCTTCCCGCTTCTGTTGTACTTGTGAATATAAATAAACAGAAGAAGAAGAAGAAGCCACAGCAGCAGCAGCCTCACAGGACTGTTTCCGGCGCAGGAATCCCGGTGTGCAACTCACCACAACATTCCCGGCTGACCGGCAGTCTGCCACTCGCCATAGTGGTTTCCCTGTCAACGAGTAAACAAAGCGATAACGACCAGATGCCGTGATATCACCAGAGCAGGAGGCTATGCGTGCAGACACAAACTGCAGGAACTGCTCTAAAGTGTCAATCGCTGCAGGAATAGAGGCGTGTATGGCATGCTCCAAGAATACATCGTGATTTTCAAAAACTACAAGATCAGTCATTTCTGCTAATAATATCAAGAAGAAGAGGAGGAAGAAGAAGAAGAAAAACCAATATATAAATTAAATAAATAATAAAATCAATAATGCTTCCAACACAAGAAAAGGAGAAGAAAAGAGAACCTAGAAGGACTTGGGAAATAAGAAGAAGAACAACAACATAATAGTCAAGTAACATTTAATATAACGATAGACACCTTTTTTTTTTTTCTTGTTAAAGGAGAAAGAAACGCACGGAAAGGGATCAAAAAAAAAAAAAAAAGGAACTAAAATGATTACAACAAATAGAAAATAAATAAATAAATAAATAAATAATATATATATATAGCGATAAATACTACGAGAAATAAAAATACACACAAAACAAAGTAGACAGAATCAAAGAAAATGAAAATGAGAGAAAGAGAAAGAAAGAGTTATTTAATATCCCTCCTCCATTTCATTATCATCACTTAGAGCAGCACCACGGTTGTAGCTGTGAATGATACTTGGTCCATGTTCTTCAAATATGTCTAGTGTCACTAAACGTTCAGAAAATGATGCGAGTCCCGCCAAAACACTCGCGCCAGACCACACACTGTACTGACGATCAGGTGCGTCAATTACTTTAGCGCTTGCAAAAAGACCTGGAAATTCTTTTAAAACTTCTTCCGTCAGACGAGATGCAAATCCTTCAAACATTGTATTTCCACCACTAAGAATAATACTAGAGAGGAGATCTTTTCGAATATCAATACTACATCTCTTTACTGCATCCACCACAAGTTCTTGCATAGAAGGTAGTTCAGACATCATAATATGAGGTGAAAAGAGAATTTCAGGTGCACGAAAAGCTTCTTTTCCAATTTGAACTTTTTGTCCATCTGGTAAAGAAAAAAAAGACTGTTTTTCTTCCTTCTCTTGAAGTTCTCTTGTATACTCGGTTGAAATATAACAAAGATGTTCCTTAATACTCTTAACGGTTAATTTATCCTGTGGAGATGTAAAATTAAATCCACGCTCGTAAAGAAGAGTTCGTAAGTACTCTGTTACGTCACTTCCGCCATGATTAATACGATTTGCCCCTCGTTGGATAATATACGAATCGTACACTGGAGTGATCTGCGTAACACCATCTCCAGAGTCCAACACCAGACCTGTTGTGCGCCCACTGGAATACAAAGCACACACACCAGAGGGAATAACCGCCACAGATGGTACGTTAAAAGCCCCAAAAAGTAATTCTACCAACTGCTCTGAGGAATGTTTGGGATTAAAAAGTGATTCTGTACAGACAACTGAAGTTTCTTCTGGATTTAGTCCTAATTCTGTGAAGGTATAATTTATAATTTGTTCCATCTTGGCCCAATCCTTCACAATACCATGTTGGATGGGATAATGTAGTATTGCACGGTGCATTTCGTGAATGGCTTCAGTTCCCACAATAAATGGTGGTAGTGGTGTCATCTCATCCTTCACTTTATTGCGCTTTAGTAGACCCATCTTCTTTACAGGCACACCCACAACTGTGGGGAAAATAAGAGATGGAAGGGACTCTGACGCCGTTCCCGCCTTCACGGAGGAAGAACCAAAATCCACAATAATCGTAGAAGTTGCAGACATGAGAGATTATTATTATTATTATTATTATTATTATTATTATTATTATTATTATTATTATTCGCAACGGTCAATTTGGGTGTGTGGAGATGTCCCCCGTATAGTGCTTTGTATTATTAAAAAGGAAAAAAAAAGCCAGAAAGCACATGAAGCAAGAGCAAATAGAATAAAAGAGTAGAAATAATAAAAATAAATAAATAAACAAAAACAGCAACAGCAGCAATAGTAAATAAATAAATATATACATATAAACAAAGATACAATAAGACTGAGAAATAATTAAAAAAAAAAAA